AAGAGACTCTTCCCAATCTTCGATCTCTAGATTTTCATCAACCATTTTTTCCAAAAAATACTTGATATCCTCATAAGGATCCCTAGATATCAATCGCATTATAGCATATGTTTTCTTACATGGTACATAGTACACAAACCCGTGACTACTATTACTCTTTGACCTTTCAAGAATTGAAGTAGCATCCATTGATTCATTCGATGGTAAATACCCGAGCCCCTTACTACTAATATTGTCGTTACTACTTGATGATGACATGTCAAGAATTGAACTAGTTTCTTGATCCCCATAAGAATCCATTGAGTCATTCGATGGTAGATAACCAAGCCTTTTACTACTAGTACTATTATTAGTACTCTTTGACAATCTTGATGATGAACCTTCAAGAATTGACCTACTTGTTTCCCCATAAGCATCAATAGAATCCATCGATGTTATAACACACGAGTCATTGTTGAATGGTAGAAACTCGAGCCTCTTACTAATAGTACGTTTCTTTGACAATCTTGATGATGACATATCAAGAATTAAACTAGTTTTTTGACCTGCCTCAACAAAAAACCTATCTTTCTCTAGTTTTAGGCTTTCAATAACTTCATCAACCATTTCATCATCAACATTGTTGTAAAATCTTTGAGAGTTGAAAATGTTGTGATTATTTTCATCCCTAATAGAGAGAGTTCTAAGGTCACCACAACGTGGCAATCTACATAGCATAGGAGAAAATGAGGGTTTTTTGTTGCTTTTGAAGAGAGAAGAAAACTTCATTTTTATTTTTATTTTTATTTTTGGAAAAAATAAAGGGGAGAAATATTGAAAGTTTGATCGGTGAAAAAACAATGTGACCTGTCTCATTATATATAGTGGGAAGAGATTGATTGTTTGTTTTTAATAATTAGTAAAGTTTTCCTCTTTTTAATTGAAAATAAATATATATATAATTTAGTCAAACGTTAAATATTCATTTTATTTAATGGATGTTTGACTAAACAAAATATTTAAAAAAGAAAATCATGTTTTTACTGTTAGCATAAGTTTTAGTACTTGAAATCTATGAAATATGTTACATTTATATGTTTCATTAAATTATAAATTGACTTAATTTTAAATCAAAATAAAAGTTTTGAATTTTTTTTTTGGACACCAAATTAATTAAAGCCTCTCAATCTACATTGTTGTTGGGTTGTGATGGAATTAAATACTCTAAAAATTATAAATAAAAAATGAATTTCAATAGTAATTTAGTATTTATTGAGTATTTGACCGTTAAAATAAAAAAAATATTTATTTTTGAAATTTTCAAAATTGGATTTTTGTTTGACCAGATTTTATACTAAAAAATATTTAAAATTTTAAATATACCTTTTGAAAATATGATTTACTCCTCGTAATTTCTAAAATCTAGTAAAATCACCCAACTAAATTTATTTTTTCAAACATGCAATCAAATTGGCTCCAAGAGAGTAATATCTCATAATAAATATTTACATATTATCATAAGTATTATATACGAGTTATTATATATTATTACAAATATTTTTTTCGTTGATTATGGAAAATTTGAAGTAGTAGATAGAGTTAAGTTTGACAGTTATTGTTTTCAACTAATAGTTGGTAATTTAAAGGTATTTTCTTTAAAATAAAACATGAAATTAATCATGATTTAATAGGTTATTTTATAAAAATAAAAGTTCTAGGATAGAGTTAGAACAATCAACAATGTCACCTTTTTAGTTTTTACCATAAATCTCAATCAGAGATCTCAATTCATTTTCTGCATATAAAATAATTCTTGATAAGTGACGTTTTTCAAGCCTTATATGACGCGTACCCAAATTAGCTGAGCTTCCGTAAACAAAAATTTAATTCTCACCAATTGGAAAAAGACTAATTTATTATAGTAATAAATAAATAAACAAATAATGATTGTAAAAGTTATAGTACTTAATAAATAAACAAATAATGCATTGTAAAAGTTAAATAAAGAGAAAAAACTTTACTTACAATGATTTTTACTCTAGATTTAATAAAGTTACACATAAACTATGTTTTGTAACACACTAATTATTGATATATCATGTTAGATCAAGGTATATATGATGAAAATATTAGGTCAAAGATTAGCGACAAATTAATTTAAAAGAAAGTAAATTTATTTAAATTTTCAAACAAGAAAAAGAAACAATACTACTAATAATATTATAACATATCTAAAATAAATTTTGCATTTTTTTCTCTCAAATATAAGAAAATGAAACACAATTAACATTTCTCTCGGGAATCTAATTCTTAGTCATTCTCTTCGAAAATATTACTTTCAAGCAAGAATCTATCACTGGAAACAATCTCTTGAGCTCACAAGCTATAAGAATAAAATTTGCATAAATCCTATCCCTACCCAAATTCCTTACTTATGGAATTACATTGGATGTTGACGTTGCAATAATTTGATCAGCCTTAGCTTCTATTAAAGACATGAAATAAGGACTAGGAGGTTCACTAGTACTAAATCCAAATGGAGTATTTGTTGTTGAAGTACCTGAATAACTCATCCACAAATCACAAAATGCACCAATAATAAACTTATGAATGTTTTTATCGTTAATCTCCAATAGCCAACCACATAACTCTTCAAGAGACTTTTCCCAATCTTCAATCTCTAGATTTTCATCAACCATTCTTTCATCAACCATTCTTTCCAAAAAATACTTGATATCCTCATAAGGATCCCTCGATATCAATCGCATTATAACATATGTTTTTTACATGGTACATAGTACACAAACCCGTGACTACTATTACTCTTAGACCTTTCAAGAATTGAAGTAGCATCCATTGATTCATTCGATGGTAAATATCCGAGCCCGTTACTACTGATACTGTCGTTACTACTTGATGATGACATGTTAAGAATTGAATTAGTTTCTTGATACTCATAAGAATCCATTGAGTCATTCGATGGTAGATAACCAAGCCTTTTATTACTAGTACTATTATTAGTACTCTTTGACAATCTTGATGATGAACCTTCAAGAATTAACCTACTTGTTTCCCCATAAGCATCAATAGAATCCATCGATGTTATAACACACGAGTCATTATTGAATGGTAGAAACTCGAGCCTCTTACTAATAGTACGTCTCTTTGACAATCTTGATGATGACATATCAAGAATTGAACTAGTTTTTTTGACCTGCCTCGACAAAAAACCTAACTTTCTCTAGTTTTAGGCTTTCAATGACTTCATCAACCATTTCATCATCAACATTGTTGTAAAATCTTTGAGAGTTGAAAATGTTGTGATTATTTTCATCCCTAATAGAGAGAGTTCTAAGGTTTCCACAATGTGGCAATCTACATAGCATAGGACAAAATGAGGTTTTTTTTGGCTTTTAAAGAAAGAAGAGAGACTCATTTTTGTTTTAGAAAAAATAAAGGGGGAATTGAATGTCTGAATGGTGAAAAAAAATGTGACCTTTCTCATTATATAGTGGAAAGTGATTAATTGTTGGGTTTTTAATAATTAGTTCACTTTTCCCCTTTTTAATTGGGGTGGAGATTATTCAATGTTGTGGTTGAGTTTGTTGTAAAATAATAAATATGTAATTTAATACTAGTTAAATATTCATTTTATTTAAGGAATGTTTGACTAAACAAAATATGAAGAAAAAAAAAGAAGACATGTTTGAATATTTATGAAATATGTTACATTTATAAGTTCAATTTAAGTTAAATTGAGAATAGACTTTAAATGAACCTCTTTCAAATCAAAATAAAAGTGTGAATAATTTTAAGATTTCAAATTAATTAAATCTTTTCAATCTACATTGTTGGGTTGCAATGGAATTAAATACTCCAAAAAAATTATAAATTAAAATTGAATTTATTTTGTGAATGTTTGATCATAAAAATTCAAAAGAATATTTATTTTTGAAATTATTAAAATTAAAATTTTGTTTGATCAGATTTTATGCTAAAGAAAATTTTAAAAATTTTAATATATTCTTTTAAAATATGACTTTTACCTCGCAATTTCTACAAATAGAAAAATCACCCAACTTAATTTATCTTTTTAAACATGCAATCAAATTGGCTCTAATAGAGAAATATCTCAAAATAGATATTTACATAATATCATAAGCCTTATATATGAGTTATTATATATTATTACAAATATTATTTTGGTTAAATATGAAAATTTTGAAGTAGTAGATAGAGTTGTGTTTGACAATTATTGTTTTCAACTAATAGTTGATAATTTAAAGGTTTTCCTTTAAAATAAAACATGAACATCAACAAGGTCACCTTTTTACTTTTTTCAATAAATCTCAACCAGAGATCTAAATTCGTTTTCTAAATATAAAAAAATTCTTGATAAACGACGTTTTTCAATCCCTATATGACGCGTATCCAAATTAGCTGAGCTTCAGTAAACAAAAAATTAATTCTCACCAATTGGGAAAAGACTAATTTATTATAGTAATGAATAAATAAATAAATAATGATTGTAAAAGTAATAGTAATTAATAAATAAACAAATAATGCATCGTAAAAGTTAAATAAAGAGAAAAGACTTAACTTACAATGATTTTTACTCTAGATTTAATAAAGTTGCACATAAACTAAGTTTTTGTATCACACTAATTATTGATATATCATGTTAGATCAAGGTATATATGATGAAAAATATTAGGTCAAAGATTAGCGACAAATTATTTAAAAAGAAAGTATATTTATTTAAATTTTCAAACAAGAAAAAGAAACAATACTACTAATAATATTATAACATATCTAAAATAATTTTTGCATTTTTTTCTTTTTTTCTTTCAAATATAAGAAAATGAAACACAATTAACATTTCTCTCAGGAATCTAATTCTCAGTTATTCTCTTCGAAAACACTACTTTCAAGCAAGAATCTGTCACCAGAAACAATCTCTTAACCTCACAAGCTATAAGAATAAAGTCTGCATAAATCCTATCCCTTCCCAAACTCCTTACTTATGGAATTACACTGGATGTTGATGTTGCAATGATTTGATCAGCCTTAGCTTCTATCAAAGACATGAAATAAGGACTAGGAGGTTCACTAGTACTAAATCCAAATGGAGTATTTGTTGTTGAAGTACCTGAATAGCTCATCCACAAATCACAAAATGCACCAATAATAAACTTATGAATGTTTTTATCATTATCATTATTCTCCAAATACCAAGCACATATCTCTTTAAGAGACTCCTTCCAATCTTTGATCCCTTGATTTTCTTCAACCGTGATTTCCATATATTTCTTGATATATCCATAAGGATCTATCGAAGTTACCCTCATAGCACTAGGTGATATAACACACGAGTTGTTCAATGGTAGAGACTCAAACTTGTTATTACTAGTACTATAATCATTCTTTGTCAATCTTGACGATGACCCTTTAAAAATTGACCTAGTACTTGTTTCCCCATAAGCATCAATCGAATCTATATGTGTTATAACACATGATTCATCAGATGGTGGAAACTCGAGCCTCTTATTACCAATACTTTTTGACAATTTTGATGATGAAACATTAAGAATCGAACTTGTTTTTTCACCTGACTCGAAAAAGAACCTTTTTTTCTCAAATTTTAGGCCTTCAATGACTTCATCAACTATGTCATCATCAACATTAATGCAAAATCTTTGAGAATTGAAAATGTTGTGATTATTTTCATCTCTAATAGAGAGAGTTCTAAGGTTACCACAACGTGGCAATCTACATAGCATAGGAGAAAATGAGGGTTTTTTCTTGCTTTTGAAGAGAGAAAAAAACTCCATTTTTATCTTTTTATGGGAAAAAATAAAGAGGAGAAATATTGAAAATTTGAATGGTGAAAAGACAATGCGACCTCTCTCATTATATATAGTGATAAGAGATTGATTGTTGGGTTTTAATAATTAATAAAGTCTTCCTCTTTTTAATTGGGGTGGAGAACAATAAATTTCATTATAGAGTTTCTTGTTTGAAATTTCTGATTTAAGAAAGGTTTATTGTAAAATAAGTATTTATGTAATATAGTCAAATGTTAAATATTCTTTTTATATAATGGATGTTTGACCAAACAAAATAATTTAAAAAGAAAAACATTTTTTTACCGTTAGCATAAGTTTTTCTTACTATTTTGAAATATATATGTTACATTTACAAGATAAATTAAATTGTAAATTGACTTAATTTCAAATCAAGATAAAAGTTTGAATTTTTTCTTGAACTCCAAATTAATTAAAGCCTCCAAATCTACATTTTTGTTGAGTTGTGAAGGAATTAAATACTCCTAAAATAATTATAAATCAAAATTTAATTTCAATAGTAATTTATTGGGTGTTTGACAAAAAAAAATTCAAAAAAAAAACTTATTTATTTTTAAATTTTCAAAATTGGACTTTTGTTTGACCAGATTTTATACTAAAGAATATTTAAAATTTTAAATATTCCTTTTTAAAATATGATTTACACCTCCCAATTTATAAAAACTTATAAAATTACCCAACTCAACTTAATTACCTCAAAGCTTGACATACAATCAAATTTGCTCTTAAAAATAATGTCTTAAAATAGATTGTCATATAATATCATAGATTACATCCCATATTCGAATTGTTACATATTATTATAGATGTTTTATCACTTTATTTGAAACATTTGAAATTGAAATTGGAGATGAAGTTGTTTTTAAATAAATAATAGTTGATAGTATAAATGTACTTCCCATTAAAAAACATGAAACATAATTTAATTGAATTATTTTTATCAAAATAAAAAGTTTAGGATAGGTTTGAAAAAGAAAAATATAATGAAAATGCAAATAAGATTTTGGGTATTTTCTAAATTTCAAATATAATTTCAAAGTTATATTTGAAATTTTCATGACCAAACGACGATTTTCAACCAAAAAATAAGTTACTATATTAGCCAAAATGTATAAAGAACAAATTAAAGGATATTAGAAACACAAATATTGTTTACGTGAAAACCTCCTTAGTTAAAGAAGTAAAAATTATGATCTTCACATAAATTTTGAACACTTAATTTGTTCACATTATCTTTTTATAATCACTTGACCAGATTATTGAAGCAATTGCAAAGCATATCATATTTTAAGTAATATTATAAATATTTAAAAAGAACCCAAAAAATATATTCATTGGAGCTTTACTATGAGCTCCTTTTTTTTTGGTACAAAAGAAAAGTAATATATTATAATTTAGTATGCATCAGTACAAGAGAGTGACAAAGCTTGAGTACTATATTTACTAATACTATTGGATGATATACCTCACAATTTCTAAAACATACAATTTAACTTGTCTTAAAAAGTAATATCTCAAAATAGATAGAACAAATCTCATGTAAAATTCACATAAACTAAATTTTGTATTACATTAATTATTGATCTAGCTTGTTAGGTCGAGGTATATATGATAGAAATTAGGTAAAAAAATTAGCAACAAACTTCAGAAGTAATTTCTATTTTTTTTAATCGGAGACCATGTGTAACACAATAAACATTATTAAAAAAGAAAGTATATTTATTTGAATTTTCAAACAAGAAAAAAGAAATAATACTAATAAGGCTATAACATATCTAAAAAAAATTCTGCATTTTATTTCTCTATTTTTTTTCTTTCAAACAGAAGAAAACGAAACACGATCAATATTTTTCTCACAAATCTCATTCTCACTCTTTCGCTTCGAATACATCTCTTTCAAGCAAGAATCTATCACTAGAAACAATATTTTAACATCATAGACTACAAAAATAAAGTCTTCATAAATCTCCTCTCCTACTTATGAAATTACACTGAATGTTGACGCTGCAATCATCTGATCAGCCTCATCTTCTATCATAGACATAAAATAGAGACTAGGAGGTTTGCTAGAATTAAATTCAAATGGAGTATTTGTTGTTGAAGTACATGAATAACTCATCCACAAATCACAAAATGCCCCAACAATATATTTATGAATGTTTTTCTCATTAATCTCCAATAGCCAACCACATAACTCTTCAAGAGACTCCTTCCAATCTTCAATTTCTAGATTTTCATCAACCATTCTTTCCAAAAAATACTTGATATCCTCATAAGGATCCCTCGATATCAATCGCATTATAACATATGTTTTTTTACATGGTACATAGTACACAAACCCGTGACTACTATTACTCTTTGACCTTTCAAGAATTGAAGTAGCATCCATTGATTCATTCGATGGTAAATACCCGAGCCCGTTACTACTAATACTGTCGTTACTACTTAATGATGACATGTCAAGAATTGAACTAGTTTCTTGATCCCCATAAGAATCCATTGAGTCATTCGATGGTCGATAACTAAGCCTTTTACTACTAGTACTATTATTAGTACTCTTTGACAATCTTGATGATGATCCTTCAAGAATTGACCTACTTGTTTCCCCATAAGCATCAATAGAATCCATCAATGTTATAACATACGAGTCATTGTTAAATGGTAGAAACTCGAGCCTCTTACTAATAGTACGTCTCTTTGACAATCTTGATGATGACATATCAAGAAGTGAACTAGTTTTTTGACCTGACTCGACAAAAAACCTATCTTTCTCTAGTTTTAAGTTTTCAATAACTTCATCAACCATTTCATCATCTACATTGTTGTAAAATCTTTGAGAGTTGAAAATGTTGTGATTATTTTCATCCCTAATAGAGAGAGTTCTAAGGTTACCACAACGTGACAATCTACATAGCATAGGAGAAAATGGGGGTTTTTTCTTGCTTTTGAAGAGAGAAGAAAACTTCATTTTTATTTTTATTTTTGGAAAAAATAAAGGGGAGAAATATTGAAAGTTTGAACGGTGAAAAAATAATGAGACCTGTCTCATTATATATAGTGGTAAGAGATTGATTGTTAGTTTTTAATAATTAATAAAGTTTCCCTCTTTTTAATTGAAAATAAATATATATGTAATCTAGTCAAACATTAAATATTCATTTTATTTAATGGATGTTTGACTAAACAAAATATTTAAAAAAGAAAATCATGTTTTTACTGTTAGCATAAGTTTTAGTACTTGACATCTATGAAATATGTTACATTATTTATAAGTTTAATTAAATTGTAAATTGACTTAATTTTAAATCAAAATAAAAGTTTTGAATTTTTTTTTTGGACACCAAATTAATTAAAGCCTCTCAATTGATGGAATTAAATACTCCAAAAAATTTATAAATAAAGAATGAATTTCAATACTGATTTAATATTTAGTGAGTATTTGACCATTAAAATTAAAAATTATTTATTTATTTTTGAAATTTTCAAAAATGGATTTTTGTTTGACCAGATTTTATACTAAAGAATATTTAAAATTTTAAATATACCTTTTAAAAATATGATTTACTCCTCTCAATTTCTAAAAACTTGTAAAATCACCCCAATATATTTTTTCAAACTTGCAATCAAATTTGCTCTAAGAAAATAATATCTCAAAATAGATATTTACATAATGTCGTAAGTCTTATATTGGAGTTATTATATATTATTACAAATATTTTTTTCGTTAAATATGAAAAATTTGAAGTAGTAGATAGAGTTGTGTTTGACAATTACTGTTTTCAACTAATAGTTGGTAATCTAAAGGTATTTCCTTTAAAATAAAACATGAAATTAATCATGATTTAATGAGTTATTTATAAAAATAAAAATAGGATAGAGTTAGAACAATCAACAAGGTCACCTTTTTAGTTTTTACAAGAAATCTCAACCAGAGATCTCAATTTAATTTCTAAATATAAAATTTTTTTTGATAAGTGACGTTTTTCAAGCCCTATATGACGCGTATCCAAATTAGTTGAGCTTCAAAACAAAAATTTAATTCTCACCAATTGGGAAAAGACTAATTTATTATAGTAATGAATAAATAAACAAATAATGATTGTAAAAGTTATAGTAATTAATAAATAAACAAATAATGCATTGTAAAAGTTAAATAAAGAGAAAAAACTTAACTTACAATAATTTTTACTCTAGATTTAATAAAGTAACACATAAACTAAGTTTTGTAGCACACTATTTATTGATATATCATGTTAGATCAAGGTATATATGATGAAAAATATTAGGTCAAAGATTAGCGATAAATTATTTAAAAAGAGTATATTTATTTAAATTTTCAAACAAGAAAAAGAAACAATACTACTAATAACATTATAACATATCTAAAATAAATTTTGCATTTTTTTTCTTTCAAATATAAGAAAATGAAACACAATTAACATTTCTCTTGGAAATCTAATTCTCAGTCATTCTCTTCGAAAACATTACTTTCAAGTAAGAATCTATCACCAGAAACAATCTCTTAACCTCACAAGCTATAAGAATAAAGTCTGCATAAATCTTATCCCTACCCAAACTCCTTACTTATGGAATTACACTGGATGTTGACGTTGCAATAATTTGATCATCCTTAGCTTCTATCAAAGACAAGAAATAAGGACTAGGAGGTTCACTAGTACTAAATCCAAATGGAGTATTTGTTGTTGAAGTACCTGAATAACTCATCCACAAATCACAAAATGCACCAATAATAAACTTATGAATGTTTTTATCATTATAATTAATCTCCAAATACAAAGCACAAATCTCTTTAAGAGACTCCTTCCAATCTTTAATCCCTTGATTTTCTTCAACCATTATTTCCATATGTTTTTTGATACATCCATAAGGATCTATCGAAGTTACCCTCATAACACTAGGTGTTATAACACACGAGTCGTTCAATGGTAGAGACTCAACCATGTCATTACTAGTACTATTATCATTCTTTGACAATCTTGACGTTGTACCTTTAATAATGATAAGTTATCCTTATATCAAAATAAAATGATAAGATGTAATTAGTTTCATTTTCCTTTACATTATTAATGTTTGTTATCGCGTAATCTTGTATATCAGATAATATAGTGTTTTAGTTTTAATGACTGATAAGTTTTAATTATTATTTTATAAATTTTGTGCTATAAAATTCCTGCGCAAAGCGCGGATAAATTTACTAGTTTCTATAATAAAATAAAATATTTTTCTAAACTATATATTTACTACTCTATATAAACTATTTTAAATTGCATTATATTAGATTCTCAAAGTATTTGAGTGCAAAAAATAGTCATATTAATGATGTAACATGAAGTTGAGTTCTTAAAAGATAAATCATATTACCTTGTTACGGTAAAAATGTTCAAAATATTATTTTATATGAAAAAAAAACTATTTTACTAACAAGGTTTTTATAATATTTTATTGATATAACGTTTAATTTCATATGTGCATTCAGATATTGAAAACAAACTATTCCAATAATTTAGTGTTCAGATTCAGAGACAATATTTTAATATTCAGATGTTTATTCAGATTTACACATCTAAATCTTAATGCACATCTTAATATTTAAATTTGTATTCAAATTCAAACATTTTAATCTTAATGGAAACAAATGAGACCTTTTCACTACTTGTTAATCAAATTCCAAATAAAATTATCTTCATAATATTTAGGGAAGATGCACAAGTACCCCCTAGACTATGACCGAAATTCCAAAAGACACACCTTACTAAGGTCGTATTACCCCCTGAACTTATTTTTTTTGTAATTTTGTGTACCTCTTTGGCTTACGTGTCATCCAAATATCTCTGACGTGCCTCAATTACGTGAAGTCACATATAGTGCACATAAGACAAAAGGTGTATAAAATTACAAAAAAGTTCAGGGGGTAATAGAACTTTAGTTTAGTTAAGATGTGTCTCTCAGATTTTGGTCATAGTCTAGGGGTACTTGTGCATTTTCCTTAATATTTATCAAGTGTTTTTTCAACTAAAAGTATAAATATCTAAATAGAAATATTAAACTAATTGTTTTGATTTTGGACTCTCTTTATTTTTAAATTTTAATATTATATTATATTTTTAAATTAATTTTTACTGGCCCACGGGCCGACACAATATTTCTCAAGCCCCCCAAATGAGCAGGCTTATTCAGGCCAGGCTAAAAAGTCATTTTCTTAAATGGGTTCCAAAAATCTTAGTCCAGTCCTATTAAATCCCGGGTTAATCCAGGCCGGTCCAACGGACCTGGCCCATATTGACGGCTCTAGTTATTATATATTATTACAAATATTTTTTTCGTTAAATATGAAAAATTTGAAGTAGTAGATAGAGTTACGTTTGACAGTTATTGTTTTCAACTAATAGTTGGTAATTTAAAGGTATTCCCTTTAAAATAAAACATGAAATTAATCATCATTTAATGGGTTATATTAAAAAAAATAAAAATTCTAGGATAGAGTTAGAACAATCAACAAGGTCACCTTTTTAGTTATTACCATAAATCTCAATCGGAGATCTCAATTCGTTTTTTGCATATAAAATAATTCTTGATAAATGATGTTTTTCAAATCCTATATGACGCGTACCCAAATTAGCTGAGCTTCAGTAAACAAAAATTTAATTCTCACCAATTGGAAAAAGACTAATTTATTATAGTAATGAATAAATAAACAAATAATGATTGTAAAAGTTATTGTAATTAATAAATAAACAAATAATGCATTGTAAAAGTTAAATAAAGAGAAAAAACATAACTTACAATGATTTTTACTCTAGATTTAATAAAGTTACATATAAACTAAGCTTTGTAACACACTAATTATTGATATATCATGTTAGATCAAGGTATATATGATGAAAAATATAAGGCCAAAGATTAGCGACAAATTATTTAAAAAGAGTATATTTATTTAAATTTTCAAACAAGAAAAAGAAACAATACTACTAATAATATTATAACATATCTAAAATGAATTTTGCATTTTTTTTCTTTCAAATATAAGAAAATGAAACACAATTAACATTTCTTTCGGGAATCTAATTCTCAGTCATTTTCTTCGAAAATATTACTTTCAAGCAAGAATCTATCACCAGAAACAATCTCTTAACCTCACAAGCTATAAAAATAAAATCTGCATAAATTCTATCCCTACCCGAACTCCTTACTCATGGAATTACACTGGATGTTGACGTTGCAATAATTTGATCAGCCTTAAGCTTCCATCAAAGACATGAAATAAGGACTAGGAGGTTCACTAGTACTAAATCCAAATGGAGTATTTGTTGTTGAAGTACCTGAATAACTCATCCACAAATCACAAAATGCACCAATTATAAACCTATGAATGTTTTTATCAATATAATTAATCTCCAAATACAAAGCACAAATCTCCTTAAGAGACTCCTTCCAATCTTTAATCCCTTGATTTTCTTCAACCATCATTTCCATATGTTTCTTGATATATCCATAAGGATCTATCGAAGTTACCCTCATAACACTAGGTGTTATAACACACGAGTCGTTCAATGGTAGAGACTCAACCATGTCATTACTAGTACTATTATCATTCTTTGACAATCTTGACTTTGTACCTTTAAGAATTGACCTAGTACTTGTTTTCCCATAAGCATCAATCGAATCTATATGTGTTATAGCACATGAAACATCAAGAATCGAACTTGTTTTTTCACCTGCCTCGAAATAGAACCTCTTTTTCTCAAATTTTAGGCCTTCAATGACTTCATCAACTATATCATCATC